GATTTCCTGCCGACTATTTTTTTCTTCTTTCCAAGAAGACAATTATTTCCAATTATTTCCTTGTTAATATATGTGCAAGAGTTTTATAGGTGTCAATAATATAGTCTGAAGTTGAATTTTGGCAGCAAGTTGTCTTTGAAGAATAATAGCTTTTGTAAGCAAAAAGTTGGTTACTGAACATCAGGATCTGTCATGGAGCTGATTCTCATCCCATCTCCCTTTTCTCAAAACTCCAAAACCTGTTTTTCTTGTGACATATTTGGGAAAGAGTTTAAAATAAACATCTAGACTGTCATTTATTTATAGCCAGCCATCAGGAAATAGCTACATAATTATTAGTTCTATTTTAAGCAAAACTGAGGTTCATGGTGTGGGATGAGGTGCAACTGGCACAAGGTGATTCTGAGAAAATTCTGGATATTGGGTGGGAAAGAGTCACCCATGATCACCCATGAAGTTGATCAGGCCATTCAAACAGTAGACAGAGAGGTTTGGAAAATCTCCAAGGATGGAGTTCTCATCTTGACTGGATGAAGCCTTGAGCAACCTGGCTTGATGGTGAAGTTGTCTGTGCTTTAAAGAAGTGTTTAAAATATAACCTGCAGGAGTTCATTCTAACCTAAGTTACTCTGTAATTCTGAATTGTCATTAACAGATATCCCAAATAAATATTTAATAATATTTAAGCTGGGAAATTAGTTATAAATAAAAAGTTTTATGGGATATGGATGAATAATTATTCAGTATAACTGAATGACCTTTATTTTTCATGAGCTAAATTTTGATATTCATAAATATTTCCCCTTATTTACAAATACCACAGAAGTATATTCCCTTTTTTTACAGTTCAGAGTGAGGAAAGCTGGCTTGGATTAATTGCACATCCTCTGTGCTACACAATTTATTATTTAAAATCTAAATGGTATTTGTATGTAGTCTGTACAGAAATCACTGAATTTATTCATGGAGTACAACATATCTGCTTGTGAAAATGTTGAGTTGGATTTCAGGGTTTAGCCACACTGGAGATATTTTATCTGTAGATTGTTCATCTTTGATCTGTACGTTGTTCATCTTCAAGGCTTGAAAAGTAAGGAAGAATGCACAGAATCCCTGATGGGTCAGGCTGGAAGGGACCTCAGTGGCTCATTTGGTCCCACCTCCCTGATCAGGCAGGGCCATCCACAGCACAGGGCACAGGGCTGTGTCCAGGCAGTTCTGGAATATCCCCAGTGAGGAGACTCCACAGCCTCCCTGGACAATCTGTTCAGTGCTCTCAGTGGAGAAGTTCTTCCTCAAGCTCAGGTGGAACTCCTGTCCCTTCCTCTGGTGCCATTGCTGGGCCCTGGAGCAGAGCCTGGTCCCTGCTCTGACCTTCCCTGCCACAGAGAATGCCAGGACAGCCAGGGACAGCCAGGGACACCCAGGGACACCCAGGGACACCCAGGGACAGCCAGGGACACCCAGGGACACCCAGGCACAGCCAGGGGTGAAGGCCTCTCTCAGCTGGGGCTTGTCTGGAGGTTGAGCAGCCCCAGCTCCCTCAGCCTTTCCTGGGCAGGGAGATGCTTCAATCCCTTCATCACCTTTGCAGCCTCCACTGAATCCAGTCCAGGATATTTAGGTCTCTCCTGTTCTGAGGAGCCCAAAACTGCACAGGGTTCTCCAAATGTGGCCTCATCCTGAGCAGAGGGGCAGGATCCTCTCCCTGCACTGCTGGAAATGCTCCACCCAAAGCACCCCAGGATGCCATTGGCATTCTTGGCTACCAGGATGCCCTGCTGGCTCAGGGACATCTTGTTCTCCACAAGGATGCCCAGGTCCTTCTCCTCAAAGCTGCTCCATCAGGTCACCCCCAGCCTGTGCAGGTCCACAGGTGCAGGATGCTGCATTTGCATATGCAAATAGATATGCACATGCGTATTTTCATATTCCAGGTAGGTTCTTGGGTCTTGCAGAAGATTTGAGTGCAGGGTATTCAAATCTAAGGGGAAAAATGCAATTCATGACTTGTTAAGAGGTGTAAGATCTGTTTGAAAGCTGCTGTGCAGGTGGAGAACCTTAAATCTATGGCTGTGAAGAAGAGGAGGAAAAGGGAGGCATTTCTGGAAGGATTGGTTAAGAATCTGAAACAACAGCTATTCTTTTCAGTATTTTTTTCTTGCTAATTCCATAAGTTGCTTATATAGTTCATTTGGTGCAATCATAGTCCTGCTACTGCCACGTGAAATATGAAGTTGTGAAAATGAATTTATACAGCTGGTTTCTTAAAATCCCAAGCATTACCCTTTGGCTCAAAAGTCCCATTACATAAATATGCACAGGCCTAACTCTTGGAGAAGTTATTTCTAATTTAGGTGCTTATAAAACTGCTCTGCTTACTGCTGTGAAACACAGACCCCAGAAGATACATGTGAGACATTATTTCACATTCTGGCTAATGCAGCATTTTTTCTGCTAAGTCAGCAGTTCCTGGAGCTGGAGCAATATGTTATCTGGTTAAAATTCTTCTATTTGTCCTTTCATTAAATAATGGATTTTCTTAAATTCCTTGTGTTTATTACTGTTTAACTGCTGAGGATTCAGTGAAATTATAGATTTCTCAGAAGTTCCTTTCTCCATGTAGTAATGAGAGTTATGGTGTCTGTGTGTGAATTGGAAGTTTTATTGAGAAATCAGATCTTTTCTAAGAGTCTTGTCCTGCTGAAATTAAGAAAATATTCAAGTGGAGTTCATCTTTATCTTCAAATAAATCCATTTGAGCATTTTCTGATTAATAATAAGCAGATACAATTTTCAGTGCGAAAGGTACATGTTGGTTATGTGTCATGTTCCTAAATTTTAATGTACATTTTGATAAACTGTGTTGGTTTTGTTGCTTTTTTTCAAATTACTTGTATCATTTGGCTTGCACTTGCCGATTGCTCTTGGATATTAAAAGAAATAGAGTAATCATAAAGTTATCAGAACATAGTGAAAATTAAAATGGTTCATTAACAAATCTTATGTGCTTTAAAATATGTGTGATTATTAGAAATCAGAAGGCTTTTACATCTTTTATTCCTATTTCATGATTTTTTCTTTTTTAAAGCTCAAATAACAAGTGCAGAGCTTACAGGGCGTTTTTAGTCCATATGCAATTAGGAGACTTTTTTGCATGATTTCAACAAAAGGTTTCTGAATTACATGGTGTTGTAAATGTACCTGAGGGTGAGAGCAGGTGATTATTGCTTTTGTATTTCTTACCTTGAACTACAAAAGGAGAAAAGAGGTCAAAATATAATCCAGCAGTGGCTCAAATCTCATAGCTTCACATGAAGTTTTGCCATGAGAAGAGTAGAATTAATGTTTAAACCTATTTGATACTTGGAAATAAATTTGATAGACACAGTACGCAGGTATTTAGCAGTGATCATAATTTTTTAATTCACCTTTCTTTATTAGAAAAGAGTCTTTTGAAAAAGCAATTTTTCTAGTAGAATAAAGATACTTTGCTAACCAGAAGACTGTTTGACAAAGTGAAGATGTTTTCAGACTGTCTTCATGTAGTGCTTCCTTTTTAGTTAACTAATCCAGCACTTTTTTCCTGACTCAAAACCAAAAAAGGTGTTAAAAGATACTCTACAGAATGGAAATCAGAGATTTCACATTTTTGTGTGTCATTGTCTAGTAATGATCTCCTTGCAGTCTTAACTTCCTCAATTTTTTGAATTAATGAAATATTGAGATAATACAGTAACATTTCATCAGTGTGGGCTGCTTATTAAAATAATCAAAATGAAATTATTAATGGAGAACATCCCACTCTGTCTTCAAGAATAAAAAACTTATGCCTTGCATATAAATGTTCTGAAGAGTGAGAAATGTTCAGAATATTTGTGAGAAAATAATACTGCTTTAGCATGGAATGGTTTGGGTTGGAAGGGACCTTAAAGATTATCTTCTTCCAAGATCCTGCAATGGTCAGGGACACCTTCCAGTATCTCAGGTTGCTTCAAGTTGTGTCCAGCCTGGCTTTGGAGACTTCCAGGGATCCAGGGGCAGCCAAAGCTTCTCTGGGTAACAAGGTTATGAATTTTTTTTATAAATATATGTATATATACATTTATATATTTACATTTATATAAATATGTATATATATATATACATATATTTTAATGTCTGTATTTCTCCAATATTTACTTTTTCAGGAATTTGGTAGATAATTTGCTCCGATAAAGTTTTTGTAATCCTTGTGGTCCCTTCCAACCTGCAATTTTGTGATAAACTATTTCTAGGAAAGACTAAAAACTCTTCCACTATCGCAGGTTGCTTCAAGCCCTGTCCAGCCTGGCCTTGGACACTTCCAGGTATCCAGGGGCAGCCACAGCTTCTCTGAGTACCAAGGTTGTGAATATATATATATATATATATATATATGTATATATGTATATATGTATATATATATATGTATGTATATGTATATATATATGTTGTTATTGGATTCAAAATGAGTACACAGAAGCTTGGTGAGTTCAAGAGACAAAAAGAGCCAATTTTTTTTCTGATCTTGTGATATATGGAATTCCAAAAGTGACAGTGGATTGGAGGATGAAATTGTCACCTGTCCAACCACACTGGTCAAACCAACAGTCCATCAATTCTCTCTTCCACAAAGAAGAATACAAAACAATCATTATTTACATGAACAGTGCGTGAGAACTCCAGTAGAAATATGTAAACATTATCACAAGGCTAAAGCAGTTTTCTGAGAACTTTGAAACTTGCAAAAGAACTGTAAAAGAAAACTTAATGCTTTTAAAAATCTGGGCAACATATATGTTTCTCTAATATTTACTTTTTCAGGAATGTGGTAGGTAATTCCGCCAAGAAAGTTCTGATAACCATTGTGATCCCTTCCAGTTGATTCTATGATCAATTACTCATAGACAAGGTTCTCCAAAGGCACTGAAATTGCCACGGGCCCGCGTTCGCTCACCATTTTCCCGCTTCCCTTGCAGAACAAGATCATCCTGGACCCGATGACGTTCAGCGAGGCGCGGTTCCGGCCGTCCCTGGAGGAGCGGCTGGAGAGCATCATCAGCGGGGCAGCGCTGATGGCCGACTCCTCGTGCACGCGCGACGACCGCCGCGAGCGCATCGTGGCCGAGTGCAACGCCGTGCGCCAGGCCCTGCAGGACCTGCTCTCCGAGTACATGAACAACGTAAGTCACGGCGGCCGCCTCGGCCCCCCGAGGCTGCAGCTGCTTCAGTGTGTCTCAGAAGTCCTAACGTGTTGGAGTTGTTGAACTTCTAACGCGTTGCAAATGTTTGATGGGAGTTGGGTACAATGAGAAGCTCACAGGGGGTAACTCACTTGGCAAGTGTTGTACTTGCCAAGGAACTCTGAATTTGGCGTAAAAGTTTCTTATATAAGAACAAGCAGTTCCTTTGGAAGTAGAATACTTTTTAAAATGAAAACAATGGTGAGTAATCTGGTTAAAATTCTTGTTAATTAACTCTTGTTAATTAACTCTACTTGTTAATTCTTGTTAATTAATTAATTGTTAATTAACTCTACTTGTTAATAAAGTGTTCTTTCTTTGCCTTGTCAGAAGGCAAAGAAAGAACACTTTATTAACAAGTAGAGTTCCTCTTTTATCACCAAGATCGCTTGGAAATAGCCCAAGAATTGTTTTCTTATTGAAGATGAATATGGGAATTTTCAGCATGCTTGGCCCTGTGGGATGGTCATTGTGTTTGATTTTTAGGATCTTACCTATAGATATTCACAAGAGGTTGACTTTTTTTGGTGTGTGAGTTAAACCACTGAAGGTTTCACTTTCTGGTGGAGCTATGAAATACTCAGTTGCCATGAAAGTAGTGAGATCAGCATTAGTGCTGTTCACACAATTTGAAAACAAATCTCTGGGTAGGGTTTCCAGAGGCGTTCACACAGTGTGGTGTGAATTGGCAGTGCATAACCTTTGTTCTGCACAAACAGAACTTGTCCCAGAAAATCCTCTCCACCCAATATTGTATATTAAAACTCAGATATTCTATTGCCATTTCCTTTTGAGGATGTGGGAAAAAGACCAAAGCAACATCAACAACCTGTTTTAAAATTAAAATATTTGCCAAGAGGTGTCAAACTGAGCATCCTCTACTTTGCTGTTTTTTCTGGTTGCTCCCAGAGTATCAGATGGCATATTTTGATCCCATTTTGCTGGAATCATCAAAATAATGCTGCAGAGGGTGTTTGAGGATAGACCTTTAATGTTTTTTTTTTCATTGGTACTGTTACAGTTGTGAGAGTGATGAAATTCAGTATCAGTAGTGCAAAGTTCAGTCCTTTAGTCACTTCATTTTACAGTTCAGACTTAAATGTTGCTTTTCAAAGATATTGTTCCATGTAATAGAGTCACCTCAAGGAACAGCTGTTTGGTTGAATTGAAAAGCATTATTTGCCTCTTAGTTTTTTGAGATTATTGTTGGCAGGCTCTTCTGAAAGCTTGAATGAATGTGAAGTTTTGCTGCTGTGTTATGGGTTAGAAGTTATAAAAGAGAACATTAAATACCAGGTGATGAGGCTGTGGTGGAAAAGAACTTGCTGGGTTTCTTCCTAGAAAATCTTGCTTTGTAGAAGAAATACTGGTGTAATCCTTAAAGGTCTTTTGAAAAAAACTTTGAGAATTGATGAATGGTGGCTTCTCATTTTATTGTGGTGTCTCTTTTTCAGTACACAGAGTTTTAGCAATGATGCAATTTGCCCCTGGACCAGAAACATTATTATTTTATTTCTGACTGCATTTACAGAGGGAGGATAGTTTTAAATTTCCTGCAGGCATTTATGACCACTCTGAAGGTTGCTAATATAGTTTCATCATTTTTACTTAAACACATAATGGTGTGAGCAGCTGCTTTTATGGTTTCTACAATATGTTTTTTCAAACAGTCTTTATTTCCTCCCTTTTTTTGTGTCCTTGTTAGTCTGAATTGTACTTCTGTAATTTATTTATTTTTCTGCTTTATACTGAAATGTAGTCAACCTAAGTAAGATTTTTTTATACCTATTGAGTAAACATTATAAAAACTGAATATATACTTAATTTACATAAAATGCAGTACTTCTGATTTTACCAGATCTGGTGTGGTAGAATTTGACAATGATAATTTCCAAACTAATGTTAGCAGTTAGAAGGGATGGGATTAAGAGTACATATTACAATGCCTAAATTTATGGGTTCTGTACATAGGGACAGGTAAAGTAGGGGGTGTCAATTCAGTTCTTTAAGGGTGGGTGGCATTTTAAGATACCAGTTTGAAAAATTCCAATGTTTGTTTGAGCATGGACTCCTCAATCTGCCCCTTTGAGGAGATGAATCCTCTGTGGGTCAGCTTGTAGCTGCCAGCCAACTTCCATGTCATGTATGCTCTAGGAAAGGACAATCTGCCAGACTCCTTCCTTCATTAAATCATTTGAGCCTCCATTGCTTAAGCTCCAGTTATAATTGTCAGAGACCAGATCAATACTGGAGATCAGATTAATACAGCCAACAGAGCCTGAAGAGCCATTGAGATGACAACTGTTATAATCTAATATGGGCAGGGGGTAAGTTAAATAGCTCTAGATTTCTCCAATAAATTAATTAAATCCTCATAGCCAGGGCAGAAGATCAGATCCTGAGCTTGTGGGCAGCTCCTGTTATCTAAGGGTTGAATTTCATCCATTCTGCCCTGGTAGAATTTGTCACTGTTAAAGCAGGATGGGAATGAAAATGACTCCATTGCCAGAAGGCAAAGAAATAACACTTTATTAACAAGTAGCGTTCCTCTTTTATAACCAGGATCACTAAGGTGAAATATGATTGGTCTCAAAGTGAAAACATCTCACCCCACTGGTGCACTATGAATAGGACATAGTGGTGGAACCTATCTATAAACAATATGAACAGAAAGAGAGACAATAAATGGTTTACATTCCTCTCAGACTTTTTTCCAGGCTTAGCCTGGTAGAAATCTCTCTCCTTTTCTTTCTGACTGAACTGAGAATATCCACAAGAATTTGCTTTCGTACTAAACCTATTTATCCTTTAAACTGAGGATTGATTTTCTTGGGTTCTTGATAGTTATGAGCATGTTCAGTGTAACAAAAGATCTCACTTGGAAAGTGTTTTAAAGCTTTCATGAGTTTCAAAAGGGTAAAAGTGATTGGCACACACCAAACATGACACAGTCCTTAGTCTGATCAAAGTTGATTTTGCAAAGATGCACATCTTTAACGTTTTCTGTCTGTGTGGCTTTAAACCACTGTAATCCTGCTCTTGCTTTAGAGATTGTGAAATTAATCAGTCATTCATGTTTTGAGGTTTCTTCTGTTTGATAATAGCTGCAAAATTATGATCTTTTTTGTATGAGTGTTGATCAAATAAGCATATAGAAAAGTAAATATTTTGTAAATATTTAAAGGATGCAGATTATGAAGGGCAGGGTGTTGGCAATGGGCTGTTTAGTCAGTGTTAGTTCAGTCCTTTTCCAGCTTAAAATAGTTCCTATTCATTCATCTAGTTCTGTGATTTGGGTTCAGAGGGGTGTTTCTTGCAAAACTTCAAGAGCTGAAGGAAAGGGCTGTGAGT